AWKRWTTTTTTYCYTTTTTTTTTTTTACTCCATATTTGTTTTCATAGATGTGAGAAGTGGCAATATTTTTTTTAGTCTGTAAATCAAATTAAGAGAGGAACTCAGTGAAAATCTCCTGCACCATACACATAAATAAGAGATATTATTTAAAATGTCACATGAGCATGTGTCTCCTGTATTAGAATTTTGTCATTCAATTGCCATTTTTAAAGGAAAGCATCAATTACTTATCGTAAAAGATAGAGAAGTTTGCTAATTAAAACCCCAAAAGGTCGCATAAAACTAGAGCATACGTAATAAAACAAAATGTCATCCACTGAGAGCCCTTCTTCCACCTACTGAGTGATGGGGATCAGGCGTAGGTATACAGGGTATGCCATGAAGATGCCAAGAGCCTAAATGGCAAATTATGAAAACACATCCTCTATCTCTTTCTTCACACACTAGCCAAAATACTAAATATTGTACTAAACCATTTAACTGTGGTGGCCCAGCCCTAACCAATGCAGACAATTTACACTGAAAAAGCTTATATGACAGGTCACTGTTAAGGGTTGGGATTGGATGCCTGGTTCAAAAAACCACAACAAACAAAAAATGAATCAAAACCACAGGAGAGATGAAAAAATTTGGCTCAGCTGATTATTCCCTTTGCATTTGTTTTCTAGATAACTAACACTAACAATCATGTACATTAACACTAAAAGTGGACACACCAAAGCAAATACACTGCAGGACTGCAGATCACAAATCTGACATTCTGTCTTTTCCAGTTGTATAAATTCAGGATAGACAAAAATTAGTTACTTCTTTCCTTCAGCACATCCCGAGAAAACAGGATGATGATTTAAATTCACCTATTAGAATTCTTTTTTTTAGTATTTGTTAATTGTAGATAGACACAATACCTTTATCCTATTTATTTATGTAGCACTTACGATGGAACAYGGTGCCTCACACATGCAAGGCAAGCACTCTACCCTTGAACTGCAGCCCTAGAATTCTCTTTCCAGTTTCCATCTGTTTCTTTTACTTCATTCCTAAAATTATAGTTCCCTGATATCCTAATGACTAGGACCATGGTGTCACGAAACATTAGTGCAGTGGTAAGRTGCATCCAACTTAGGCTCACACACTTACCAGCTCCTCTGGAAAGCAAGGCAAATGTTCCAAGAGGCCACAGAAAACTCCAATTACAAAAATTCCTAGTTTAGATAACTCTTTCACTGATTTTAAAATATGGTACGTGYAATAAAAAGTCAGGTCATGAACAAGACTTCAGCTTTTAGCTGAGAAAGAAGAGAACTGTTAACCCTCTAATAATGCCAGTTAATGAAAATTGAATGAGGGCTCCAGGGCAAAGCAAGTATCATGTCCCAAGCAACAAAGAGAATCCAGAAAGAGGCTTTCTCTTTTATGGTGTTAAAAAAAAAAATAAGGCAATATACCAAGAGTTAATTAGACTGACAATGAGGGAATAAGAAGCAGAAGAGAAATATTTCAAGGGATTTTCCATTTTCCAAAAGAAAAGGTACCTTAAGGTCTCCAAATTCAGACTAAGTAAAAAATCACTTTGTGAGGATGTATTCTTTGAAACTCCCCTTCCCTCTGGGTCACGATGGGCAAATCTCCTCCATAGTTCCCTCGTTCTGAACAGTACTGCAGGGCATTATATAACATTTAACTGAACAGGATTCCAAATCCTAAAAGGATGCTTCTATCCTGATAGCTAGCTGACTCTCTCGCCCTCCGGTGGTGACTGAGAGAAGAGAGAGGAGAGAATACAAAAAAGGGCAACCTCCTTAAAAGGAAAGCACTGTCCAGTGATGAAATTTCCCCAGGAGCATAAAAGCCTGGAGTGAAACTGATGCTAAGTCCTGGACTGAGGATGTGAATGTTCTAAACATGTAAATGATTTCTTACCAACAAATCACGGCCTCCTTATTCCCTCTCAACCTATAAAGAAAAAAGGGTAAAGAAGCATATGAAGGTTGCCAGGAAGAAAAAACAGCCCTGCCAGGGGGCTATGGAAGAACACTCACCTTTCCATTCGCCAGGAATGACTTGCTAAATGCAGAGTAGACACTGCGTGGCATAACCAAGAGAGGCAGAAAGGGAGAGAGAGGAGAGCCATAGCTTCCATTTCCTCCTCCCTCTCCTTCAAATGTCTTTTAAAGCTGGGGTGACTGTCATTTATACATTTGGATTTGCTCTGTCAGGGTAAGTTCTACCTGCCTCTGCTATACCCGGAGTGACTACGGGTTCCCACTGAATGTGTTGTTTGCCAGTAATAAAGCCATAAAAAGGAAACATTTTTTATAACCTTCATTTTTAATAAACTGTTTAGAGTAAAGGCAGCAAAAGTGCCTTTCCAAAGCCAATCCTGAGAACCAAAGTGAGTCAGGAATCAGATTTCCTATAACCCAAATTCTTCTGCAATTCTTAAAAGTCACTCCCTCTCCCCTCTTTTTGGCAGGCTATAAGAATCTCTTCCTACCTCTGCAGTCTTTCTCTCCCTCCCTCTTCTCAGAACCAAGACAAAGAGGTAGACAAATCCCCACAGGGTCTTTCCTGAGCTACAGCTGCACAGTACAGGAAACAGGAATCTGGTATGGAGCTGAGGGAGGGGGACAAAAAAAGCTACGAGAGAGAGAGAGACACACACACACACACACACACACACACACACACGGACTCAGACACAGACCAGCGCTTTTCAGCTGATAACAATAAATCTGGCCTTTCCTAAGAAGACAATCATAATTAGACCTCTGCTGGTTATACTCCACCCCCAGGGTCTACTCAGATCCCACAGATGAGAAAAGAAACATGCGGAGGAAGAACAAATCTTACCTGAGTTACCATTTTCTTTTTCTCCATAAACCAAGGGGAACAGATGATAAAGCTTTCAAAGCAGCCTTGCTGGGGCACACCTCCTCGGCTTCCTTGGCCACCCCCTCCCCCCCAAGCTGGCTATTTAAGGGTGGGTAATTGACTCCCCTTTACACCGTTTTCCTTCCTTTTTCTTCCTAATGTTTCTTCCTTTCTTTTCTCTTCCTCTCTGGCAGTCTCTCCCCCTCCTTCTTTCTCCAGCTCCCTCCCATATCTCAGGCAGATGGCTGAAGGAAGCCCCACCCCTGAATGCCTAAGGTAATTAATCAGAGCAGAGCCCCACCTCTTCCTCCTCCCCCTACCCCTCCCAGCAGGCTGACAGCTCCCAACTCCAGAAGCAGGCCTGCTGGAGAATGGCAGTTTGGTGTGCACTTTGCTTTGCGCACGCGTGTGCTCCTGTGTGTGTGTGTGTGTGTGTGTGTGTGTGTGTGTAGGGGGAAGGAATCGGAGAGTGAGGAGCCATGTGCTGGCACATTTTAAGGATGTGACGGGGACACTAATGATATTGCACTGAAAGCATTCATAAAATGTCACTATAATTAATGCAGATTTTTAAGAGATTACGACCATGAATATGTGATAATACATAAAAAAATGAAACAAAAAAAWTTTTTTTAATCTTCACCAGGGCCAGGGGTGTGGCCCAGTGGTAGAGAGCTTGCCTAACACATACCAAGCCCTGGGTTCCATCCCTAGCATCACAAAAAGGAAACAAAAAAATTTTTTTTCAGTGATGTATAGTTAATAGATAGAGTAGATTTAATGACAAATGTGAAGCAGGAGGTGTTTAATGACCGCTGASGTGAAGGCTTAAGGGAAATACACAAGAGAGCATGTGTGTCCTAGAAAACCACACCAGCCCAAGGAGGGCAAAGGACTTTGACTTCCAGGGAGGTGGTCAGCAAAGTGCTTCCCCCCCCCCTTCTGTATAAGAACTGGGGATTCTGAAAATGGTGTCTACAAATAGGACCGCTTAAGAAACTTCAGATGTATGGGAAAGTGTCCAAAAATTGGACTGCTTAAGGCTTCCAGCTTCATTAAAAATTCCGGGTAACAGGGATTCACCTGTGTTCCAGCCTCTGATGAAAAAGAATAAATCCTTTCTTAAATGTTTACTGGCATCTGTGTCACTACTGTAAATACTGTTACTACAGAGCGCTATAAATAGGAGGTTTAAGAGAATGTTTACTGAACACAGGAGTTTCTTTAAAGTTCTCTTATTAAAAAGATATAATGAAAAAAGCATCAAAGAGGGAATTCAATCCAGAAGCCCTACTTTAGTGACGTTGGAGGACTCTTTAATTTCTGCATATAAATTGCATAATCTCCTTACTTATATATGCTCATTATGTAAATGTTTGATGATTTTATGACTTTGTCATTTGTCTCATAAACATTAAGATTCCCTAATTTTTTTTAGTAATCTGATAGGATTCCATCCTAAAGGATTGACATATTTAAGTTCTGCCACATTTATGATGTTAATTTCTCAAATAGACTATCCAAAGATCAGAGTTAATTCTAAAATTAAGCTTCTTATTTTTAAAATAAATACACAAGAAATAAAAATTTAAAATCAGTAATCACTGAGAATAATAGTTTGTTACTGTCTCCATGAGAATTGTTTGGCACAATGTAGATCAAGTTTTTAAAAATGTCCTGTATAGGGGTTGAAGTTGTGGCTCAGTGGTAGAGCACTTGCCTAGCATGTGTGAGGCCCTGGGTTTGATCCTCAGCACTGCATACAAATAAATAAATAAATAAATAAATAAATAAATAAATAAATAAATAAAGTAAAAGATTCATTTACAGCTAAAAACGAAAATTTAAATAAATAAACAAACAAATAAAATGTCCTGCATAATGCCATTAGTTTGSAATTTTCCAATGCTACATCACCGTGTTCTCCCCTATTAATAATCATTTTTAAAACAATTCCAAAAAGAACACAGGAACTACACAGCCACCTATAGAATCTGTAGATAGCAGCACAATCAGCTATTTACAACAAGATGTCAGGCACTCTTCAGGCATTTTACACATATCTGTATATCTTTAGTATAATCCAAAACATATAAATATATATAAAAGAAGGGGCTTGGGCTGGGGTTGTGACTTAGTAGTAGTGTGCTTGCCTAGCATGTGAGAGGCCCTGGGTTCGATTCTCAACACCTCATAAAAAATAAGTAAACAAAATAAAGATATTGTTTTCAACTACAACTAAAAAATAAATATTTTTTTAAAAATAGAATGACCTTGTTTTCAAATATTACAAAGGAAATTAGAAACAAAAAAGTAGCAGAACTAAGTCTGTTCTTATTTAGAAATCCTCTGGAAGTCAGAATATGTAGAATCTGTAGATAGCAGCACAATCAGAATATTTAGTGCTCTTGGAATTTGCAACTGAAAAGCCAATTGGAAGGAGATAAAATGCAATTAAATCTTTTCAAAGACAAAGTGAATAAGTAGAAAAGGGCTAGGTAAGTTTCACTGGAAGCCAAGTATGCTGAAAGCAATATACTTCTGGAAAAATGCAAATCATATTTACGGGAAAATTGTGTTTTCAGATTTAATACATGAAATAAACCTGCAAATCACCATTCTCTGCAACCACYGGTCCACTATACTACTCTTGGCAAAAAGCCCCCAGAAACAAGAAGACAGATGTACCCCACATACCATCACCACTACCACATACACTCCTAACCTTAATAAAGTCCAACTACCTTGACTGCTAGGTGTGAATGCAATCTCCAAGTACCCTGGAAAGAGACAAGGCCCTGAGGAGAATTTTTTTTTTAATAAAAAGACAAATCAAAGATTCCTACATGCGAAGAGTCTAGAACTAGGATAAGGGTTTCCTTGGGCTCAAGATCCACACTGCATTCCCACACTTAGGACCAATATTATACAGTGCAAGAAAGAGACTATACAAGCTTCAAGTGAAAAATGGTAAAATGATTTTTATAAACTCCCTAAAACACAGAACCCAAGTGAGCACTGGACAATGAGATTTTTGAGTGTGTTCCTGACTTTAATGACTGGCATTCAGAGAGGACAATTTGCTCCCAGGTACCCAAGAGAAAGAAAAGCAAAACAACTGGAATCTTTAAGTGGCTAAATGTGCCCAGAATATACCAAGGAGAAATTCATTTAAGGGCGCGCTCTCTGTACATGCGCACATGTGTGCTTAGGAGTAGAAAGACAGGCATAGATTGGAGGGTTGGAGAGGTGGGAAGATAAAAACATGTTATATGATTGTCAGCTAAAGGAAACTGTATCCTCCTTCGGATCAACCCCTAGCTTCCAGCAAAATGGACTTGGGACATAGTAGGTATTCAAGAAATATTTGTTCAATAAACAAATGAAGGAAAAAAGCACTTCTAGTTGTCCCAATTTCTTGACAATTTTGTCAATGTTTTCATGCAATCTCCAGAATCCCAATGGCCTTTCCCCATAACTACTCAAATGATATTTATCTTACCAAAATCACCAAAGGTCTTCAAATAATAGCCAAATTCAATCAATCAATCAATCAATCAATCTCTCTCTCCTTTTTTTTTTTTTGTGTGTGTGTGTGTGTGTGGTGCTGGGGATTGAACCCAGTGTCTTGCGCTTGCTAGGCAAGCACTATATATAGTCCCAGCCCAAACATCTATATCTTCTTTGACTTTTCTGTGGTGTTCTCTCTTCCAGGAAACTCTTGCTCTTAGCTTCAAATAATACCAGACTTTCCTGATCTTTTTTGTTCCTTGCTCACTCCTTTCTTCAACTTCTATCACCCTTTGACCACTTCTTATTGCATGCTAGAAGTTCTTCACCCCAAATGCACAGTTCCTCACACAGGTACTTGATGGACCATATTATTCATCAGATTTCTAAAAGGGTAGAAACTTCAAAGAAGCTGACACTGCCAACCATACTGCTGTGTTCTAACTCATTCCACACTTCACTTGCCAACCATTTACTCAGATGCCCCCTGCACTTCCAATTCCAGCACACATCTCTCCAGAACTACAGATCAAAATATCCAACTGCCAAATAATGGTCAACCACATTTTAAAACCCTTCAAATTTCTATTATTTAAAAGTCTAAAGCCAAACTGATTCTCAATTGAATCATTAATTCATTTAACAACTATCTGAGTGCTGTCTGTCAGGCACTGCTCCAGGCACAGGGAGAAAGCAATACAGACAAGGAGGGAATATTCCTACTTGTGGGAAGCTCGGATTCTAGCACTCATTCTACCATGTTGCTTTCCTGGTGAATGGTTAAGTTTCATGACAGATAAAACAGCTATCATTTCTTGAGAATTTACTCTGAGGTGGCATCTGATAACACAATGAATCAGATTAGATAACTAATTAATCAACTTCATCTTCACCACAACGATGAGATCTTTTTGAAAATGAGAAAACTAAGCTAGGTGAGGGTAAGCATCTTGCCCCAGGCACCCAAGCTAGCAAGCTTCAGAACTCAGATTCAAACCCAAAGTGATGGGCTCCTCATCTTTATTCAGTAACTTAACAAGTCAGAAGCTTAGGGTCCTTTGATTTCTTTGGTATGCCCTTTCTTTCCATCATATTACCACAAAATCAGTCTGACCTCTTTATTCTCTAACTGTTCCCTACTTTTTCTGCCTTCAGTCTATCACTCTTCCCATCCAAACTTCTCACTACCCACTACCTCCAGAGTGATCTTTCTAAATGCAAATTTCATCATGCCACTTCCCTGACAAACACCCTCAACTGCTTCCCACATCTGACAGGGTGGAAGAATCCTAATTCTTAAACAGGAACCTAAAATATAATCTGGCTGCAGAACATCTGTCCAGAGGCACTGTGGGTCCCCTCCAGTGTCCTTCCCTGCCCCCAAAACCCTGAGCAAACTGCAGTGGGTACCTCCACATACCATGTTTCTGTTCTCCCTCTTTCATCATGACTTCTGTTTGGCTAGGTTTACTTCATGGATCTACAACTCCAGAAACTCTTTCTTGACTCCATCTGCTCCCACATTTGGGTTAGGTACCCCCTCACCTGTGTGTACACAGTACCCTAGAACCTAACCAAGGGACATAACTACTGGAGTTTATTATTTCTGCATAATTCTGACTAGCCTGCAAGCAGTCTGGGGTAGAAATCATGTTTTATGT